ACATAAACAAGTTTGCACATGAAACCCAGTTGCATTCAAAATTTCAAATAACAAACCAAAGAAGCTATATTAAGCGAGACACCTCAAACTGTAACCTACAAATCATGATGCAACCTGATGTCTTATGCAACTGGCCTATTTGGTAATTGATTCATGAACCAAAAATATTCAGGAGAGGTGAGCAGCCTTTATACAACACTTGGGAATAAATTGTGTAAACATATGTTAATGTTTCTGTGTCGAACGTTGGTGCAAAGTCCAACAACAGACTTCGCCAAAGGCTGCATTGATAATAAACAATGTAAGCTTGTTTGATCAACACCAACTGCACCATAACCTCCTCTTATCATCATATTGAATTCATAAACAAATATTCACTTCATCTTTGACCCAGAGCTGTCCTCTTCCTGCAGCAACAAAGACATAAGAACATACTGATCTAATTGAAAGCATAAAAAGGCAAGCCTGACATTCATGTGTATGCCTTAATATTGTACTGTAAGTGAAATTCCTCTACAGCTGAAAATAACTCACAGAAGGAATTCAATGAATTGTGTCAAGGCAGGCATACTGAATGGCTGCCTCTCTTCTTGAAATCTCAGATTGAGGAGAAAGAGTTTGAAAACATTCGGGGGAAGAGATTCATCATGAGGGGATGCACTAAAATAACATCTTTAACTTCTCCCACAGAAAGGAGTAATTTTCACGCAGAGTTCCTGGAAAACGGGTGTCTTGCATTACAGGGCGAAGAGCAGCATGGTGGGATTAAAAAAGTGACAAGCGGCGCACTCCTTGGAGCTCTTTCAAAATCACAGTTGTGAATCATTTGTTGTGTGTAATTTAAGAGCAGCTAAGAAAGCAAAGAGCTACGGGATATTAGAATGAGGACAGAAAGAAGTGCAGAAATTTAATTATTTAAATTTATCTCCTGAGTAACTTTTGAATTTATTATTTGGTCAAAAAAATATCCTAAAACTGTGAAAAATGTCCATCCTAGCAGCCAAAACCCAAGGTATCATAGAAGACTAAGAACCAGCATGTACTGTCAGTTTAATTGTTGACTACTGACTCTGTTCTTTTGGCTCTATATTTTTACTAATGTGTTAAATATCCTGTATAAATAAAGGGTAAGTTCATCAAATTTGACAAAGCTGGATCCATTTTGGCAATGCGGCTTAAGAAATTTACTTTTTAATTTAATTTTATGTTAATCAAAAATTGTTAATCAAACAGCAAAGTCCATCATAACATCCTAAAATGTAAATAGTTTTATTTAACTAAAAATACATCTGAAAATATTCACATTTCAAAAGCTGGAACCAGTTCATTTCTGCCATTTCCCCTTTTTTCTCTCGATTGAATAATCAATTAATAGACTACTAACAGGGGAGTCTGTGATCCTCTTGTTGGGATGATCTTGGTTCAGTTGATTGATAATGTAATCTATGAATCTATAATTTAATAACAGATAAATTAGTCAAATATTCGGCCTGTAAAATGCTTCACTGGGATGATAAGAGAACATTCAATTATTGGCTCATCACTACGGCACTCATAATCTCACTATGCATGAAGACCCCCCCCCCACACACACACACACGGATCGGAGACCAGGGTTCAATTAAGGTGATCAATATGACAGAATTATCAATATGTGAGTGTGAGTAAAAACTAAGTTCTTCAAACATGTCTGACCTACAGATGAATAATGGGTGACAGAGTGGTTTATAATTATCTAGAATTGTATTCATGGTCAGAGGAGTTGTACTGATGGTGTATAGCAAAAACAGTTGACAGCAACTTTAAATTAGACCAGAAACAGGCGGTCCTTTCATATAGTACGGCAAAAGGTTTCACTCATCAGAAACAAGCTGGATTGATCTTTGCAAAATATGAACTGCTTTTATAAGAGCAAGGTAAAGTAGTTGGAGTTTTGAGTGAAACGATGAAGGACATGAGAGCAACAGAGGAGAAGCTAAAGGCCACTGAATAAGTACAGTGAAAAGATCAGATGAAGGGTGGTGTAGTAAGTGAAGAGATTACCCAGATAATGTGGGTTCAAATCATTGGCAGACATCTGGCTGCTTTAGTGTCCTGGAGCAGCATGTACGCTCAAACAAGAAATGTTATGTTACCAGCATATGCACACACATGCATTGAATTATATAAAAAAATATATAAATTAATAATTTCTTAATGTACTGCTATTTATATCAAAACATGTCGAACTGGATTGGATGTACTAATGTTAAATAGTTTTAGCTTAAAGGGTAATCCAGTGATTTAGTATATACTGGTGGGCCCATGAAGCCCATTTTCCTCATAGACCTTCCTTCTAAAAGACATGTCTGTAAAACTGTTGGCAGGACAACTCCAACTTAGGGGTGGGTGATATGGGCAAAAAATAATATCTCGATATTTTGGGGGATTTTGGCGGTAACGATAATCAGTCGATATCCTTTAAAATGTGATTGGAATTGTCTGAGTTAGAGCTTGTGTCCACCAAACACGCTTTGAGCGCTGATAGCGCTCAAAAACTCATTTTCCGAGCGCCCAGCGATGTTACAAGTTGAACAGATTTTAACTTGAAGCGCTCTGAGCGCTGCGCTAAAAAAACGTCTCCGCTGACATCTTTTCACCGCTGAAGACGCGTAGTGCTCTGAACGCTAAAGCTCATAGGATTTGTATCGGCACTAAATCATCTGAAGTACCGGTAGCTTCAGGGACTGGAGTTGCTTGCATTTTCTCTCTACCATCACAACGCGCTGCTAAACTGTTGCAAGGAGGATGCTAGCGAGAGGTCATGTGATCACGTAGGCCCACTAGTCGTGTGACTGTATCCTTGTCAAAACAACAACAATATTATTGCAAACGATATATATCGCCAACCCCTACTTCAGCTGCACAAAAAGTCAATTATTACTCCTTGTATTATTATTTTTTTATTTCAGTGGAGGGTTTATATTTGTAAGATTTTCCTAGAGCCTAGAAAAGCTTTTTTATTTGCATGAAGCCAATGTAGTAAGTCTATGAGCCAAGAGGGCAAAACACTCGATGCCTAGTGGGTCGCACTCTGCAGAAGAAGACCCAGAAGCTAGACAATATTTTTCATTCAAGTGAGTGGGCACAATTTTGAGTCCGATATACACTTCTTATAATACATACCGAGGTCAGGCAAAAATCCCCTTTACTTCCCATCATGCAACATCAATGAGATCAGGGTTATTTTCTGAGACTTTCCCTCAGTCCAGGACAACAAAAGGCTTCATTCAAACCTATTGTTTTGTCAGGTTGTAATAATATTCATAACTGAAGTTCAGTGCCCCCTTTAAATTACAAAGAAAAATATAATAATTATTAGAAAAAATATTTAGCACTAAGTAAAAGAAACTGTGGGAAAACTTAACTGAAATCCACAAATAAAATGATTAACTAAAATTACATGACAACTGGGCAACTCCATCGGCCGAGCAAGATAGTGTGATCTCGAGCTGCAAACATTAGTCAATTCATCGATTATTTGTCAACAATAAAATTAATCACCTATTATTTTAATTATCAATTTATTGTTCTGAATCATTTTTTAAGAAAAAATGTTCAAATTATAGGATTTCAAAGCATCAAATGTGAGTACTTTCTGGTTTCTTTAGTCATCTATGACAGTAAACTGAATATCTTTTCATATCATTTTCTGGACCAAACAACTAATTGAAAATATACAAGAAATGAATTAATAATAACAATAACAATTTTTGCAGGCCTAGTGTGACACTGTCGAAATGTTCAGAACAGCAACAGAGTGGAACTTGTTTTTAACAAAAACTAGTATTGTTCAATTACACGGCTTTGTCGTTTAATCATATTACATTGTTAGTTAGTTTGTTAGTTACGCCACAGTTAATGTGAATGTGTATGCAATTCTACCACATGGTTAACATGCCTTCCGAGAAAAAAACGAAAGCAGGCAATTTAGGTCTCATGATCACAACTTTAATAGCAGATGAATCTAATACAATCAAGGCTGAGGGCTCTGTGGTTATATGTCAGACTAAGAGAGGGAGACATGTGAGGGTCATTAGGTGTCCTCAATGAGGAGCCCGTGGGCTGACAAGGGTGAATATTCTATGTGTGTCTCTCTCCCTCTTTTTCTCTCTCTAGCTATGGGTCTACGGCTAAAGGAAGACAGTGCTGTCACTGTTTACCTTTTTGCCAAGCTCTATCACTTCCCTGCAAAGTGAAAAATACAGAAACATCCTCTTAGGCTAATTCTCAAAACAACGTACAATTTATTTGAGCCTTGTGAAAACAAGACAGCACACACCCGACAAAAATATTTTCAATCCAGAGGCAAAGGAACGGAAAGACCAAGTGAGAAGACGTGAGACGGAAGGAAAAGAATGTTTGTTTTCTGTTAACACGGATTAAAAATAAATTTCAAACAGCCTTTCAGGAAGCTTGATGAAGTTCTTTGGAAATGTTAATAGTCCTGGGAGTTTTAAGACGGACTGGGTTCCTGTCAAACATTTAATTAATAAGAAAAAAACATGTTTTACTGTGCACAGACCATAAGTTCTTATAATACAAACAGAAAAAGATCTGGATCCAGTCCGGTTCAGTCTGAACCAGCTCAGCATCTACCTGCTCAATCATATCATACCCAATAATTAATTAAAGCAGCTAGATGTGCAAATGCCCCAGTAGTTTTTATGAATAGTAAAAGTGAAGTATGCCTAGGCCCGGGCAATAAAACAACAGTATCAGTAATAGACATTAAATCAAATTGAAATGTTTCAATAGAATATCGAGTTTCACTTAAATGCAAACCAACATGAAAGCACATAACGAATACACCCTGGCTCATAAATAGCCTATCATATCCCTGATAATGGAGAGTGCTATGAGTGAATAACCATAGCCGCTTCCATCCACTTGAATACACAACGTCAGTCACAACCTACGTCTGTTACATCTCAAGAAACGATCCATAGGCAGCCAATGTCCACAATGCAGAGGTAGAACGATACCGACAAAACATTAACATTACAATCATTACCTGTGTGCCTTGATACATAAAGTGGTTAAATTCAACCATTCTTTATGAATAGGTCAAGAAAAATTGTCATCATTACAAGTACGCTTTCTTGGGGTATAACAGTTAATATATGTGAGCTCCAGACAAATGGTACACAAAACATACATTGTCAGTTAATACATTTTTAATCAGTTAAATTCTTACTGGAATAAATCGATAAACGATTAATCATCATAAACATTCCAAGAAGCAGTAAATTGAAGCAATTAAGGTAACAATTAATCCATACATAGTTTATTAAAATGTGGATACCAAAGTCGGAGATTCCTCCCTCTCCTTCAAGCTGCCCACACATTCACACATGAAAACAAAGTGTAATAGAGTGCCTAAAATCTTTACATCATTTACATCAAAATATTCAGGTGGCACCTCAAATCCTGCTACTTTTATAACAACATGTGTGCTCAGTAAAATTACTGAATAACGCAGTCAACACAAAGAAAGTATGGGCAGCATTAGCAGCTGGCCTGAATGCCTCCTGGTTACTGAAGTCATGTGCTGTTTGTTTTTTTGTTACTGTGGCATGCACCAACACAGGGTTATTGAACATACTAAATTCAGAGGGGTACCAGTGACCCTGGAAATAAGGTAAACAATACCTCGTCAACAGCATCTTCATCTTCCTTATGTATTTGCTAAAAAAACATGAACAACATGGGCTCCTGGAACATTTTGTAAGAAATCACATACTTTTTTGGCAAAACTATGAAGGGAGGGGGTGCCTCAAGGGAGGCTCTAGTGAATAGAAGTGAAAAAATATTATGTTAGTTATCAAAAGGAGATAGATATAACATAGAATAGCCTAAATGAGTGTGAAAGACAATAATAAAAGCCTATGGACAGACCATTTTTACACATTTGGCTTTGTCTGAGGGGTCCCAGACTGTGAAAACCCCTGCTCCAAGGTAACCATACCCTTTGTATGGAAATTCTACATGTACAGTCACTATAATTTTATTATAGATTATTTGCACTAGTTGTTGTGATGACTTTAAGTCCTCTCAGCCATTATCTTCCTGATCACGAAAATACTGAACACTAATAGTAAAGCTGTTGCATTAACTTTTAATAAGTTAAAAGAATACCAAAATCAATATTGAATCTCCAATGTAAAAAAAAACACTGCAAAAAAAGTAGCACATACAAGGTCTGACATACAATAGTTGTAATCTATAGCAGCAAGCTGGGGTCTAAGGCCCCAAAGATACTCTAAAATGGACAGCAGCACAGATTTATACACAGTTTCGTACACACTACACAGGGGTTGTACAAGGCTTGTAGTCAGTGCAGTATTAGAATTAAGTGATGACAAAATTTACATCACAAGGAGAACCTCTCAGATGCTGAAAGTACAAATTAGCCTTCATGGTTACCTGTAACCACTAATCGTGAATGAGTAATAGTCAAACACAGGTTGAACGATGTTTAATCTCCTGTCTCATTCATGTGATTTTAGGCAAAAACAACAAGAGAACACTTTAATTCGAAGTGCTCTACCATACGGTTGTGAGTGAGTGCTTGCATTTCGAGGAGCAGGCTCAGTTTCAAACTGAATATTTTTTAACAAGAGCTCAACAAACAAGTGGCTTCATTTGAATGTTAAAGTTCACACTATTACACATATCGTATCAAAAATCCTTGATCGGTGTTTACCTAATGGAATTATGAACCCCAGCACTGCACTGCACACTGTTGTTGTGTTAGCGTTCATTTATACAAGGAAATCCAAATGGAAAGAAAATTTGAATACTCTGCATTATAAAAAAAATAATAACAAAACTGACAATTTCAAATGATTTAATATAGACAGCTGAGACCCACCATCAAGATAAATGTTTAATAACAGGAGGAAGAAAATAAGGTTGAGACTAAATGAAGAGTCTTAGAGAGTAAGTAACTAACCACTGAAAATGCTGATGCAAAGTTGTGTCATGCTGGACTGCAAACTCTTTCTCTAGAAATATTTAAGAATTGTACAGATTGATTGTTAAATATACCTGCAGTTTGTACACTTATAATGTGGTCTCATCTGAGCTTTTTTAGTTCTCTCCTGTTGCTTTGAAATTGCACATCAAAGTGCTTATTGCAAGACCTCTTTAATCTCTGACAAAGGCTGCTGTTTGGCATTCAACCTCACATGACCCACCTTTGCATCAGCATTTGTAATTGTGTGCTGTTGACATAATTTTAACTTGTTTTGTGGTGTATTAAATCTTAAACTCACGAGGGGCTTAAGATGCTCATTTTCAGCACAGCTCATAGTTAATTTCTCGGCGCACTCTACCCAAATTATGATTTCTCTTACTCCAATATAACCTGACAGGCCTCTAGCTCTAGCTGTACTGTGTTTGTGATCATATCAGCTACATACACAGCTGATGTAAGGTAAAAGAAAGCTGTTCAGGAGGGCTTTGTAAAAACACAGGCAATCAATATCCTTCTTACTGAGAACTTTTTGTAGGTTATAATACTGGATGTGGGAACAGCCTCTAGTAATACGCTGCATAGAACAGTAGTATAGTGCATTATGGGGCTCTGAGGTGAAGGCAGTAGCCTTGCGTATAAATGTCTCTTCATATTTCAAAACAGACCATGCAACAGACTGAACAGTTTTTTTGTTGATTCAAGGTCTTGTTTGTGGTAGCTTTTGTGTTTTGATGATTAAGTCCATCTGACCAATGTCAACTCTGCGGCAAAGGACAACTCCTTAGAAATTAGTCCATGCAAATTTTAAAGAAATTAGAGCGAGAAGGAGTTCAAGGTGGCTCATTACTTTTGATGGTTTTGTGGAATTTTAACATTTTTTAGCCTTACTTGCGGCCGCGTTTAATTAGAGTTCCACAGGGCAAATGCCAAGTTATGTGCAGGATGATACTTTTCTGTTTTGCAGTGTTGCATTTTAAATGATGATGAATAGGTTGTGGAGTTTTGCTTCCTGGAAAATAAATTGTGTTTTCATAATCAAGAGCGATTTGGGGATCATTCTAAACACTGACGAGAAGTAAGAATTTAAAGGATTTATAGTACTTATAAACTGTTGCATAATAAAGCATTACATCAGTGCTGGATCTGGGATACCCCAAAGGGTTAGAATCATTTATAAAACTTAAGCATGCATTTTAATGAACAGACTTTCTCCTCTGTTTATATCTACTGTGTGGTGTTTTTGTCAGCTACCCTTTTTCTTTATTGGCCTTTTTATTGAGTGGAGGCAAGTAATAGTAGGTGTAAGCAGCAGTACACTAAGATTGTGTCTTCAGTAGGGCTGGGCGATATGGCTTAAAAATAAAATCTCCGATTTTTTTTTTCCAAACCCGATTTACGATTTTAATCTTTTTTTTTTCTAGACTGTTTTTCTAGCGGGTGTTTGGGGGCTGCGGTCCTGTATATCTCGCAGAGAGCAACATTTCTCCCACTCGGCTGCATGCCTCTGCTTGAGGTGCTGGCATAAATTCGTCGTACTGCTACCTTTGGTTGCAACAGCTTTCAAACAAACTTTGCAGTGGGTCGTGGTTTGTTTGCTGTCGGACACCACAAAACCAAACCAGTTCCAAACAACCGACGACACTGTGCCTTATTTGGGGACGAGCTCATCCTGGTTTGCTGCCATGTTGTGTTTATCTGTGGAGAGATCTCTGCTTCTGCAGTGAGATCTGCAAATGCAAGGGGCAATTTGTGTGAATGAAGACGTGTTCTCAAATAGGTTTGTAACAGCACTTTGATCTACAATCACAACCTATTTCTTTAATAAAGTTCAGCTTCTGTTTCAGGCATCTACAGTTGCAACAGAAAGAAATTGGAATGGTATGATTAAAGGAAAAGAAAAAAGAAAAAGTAAGAAAGATGTGATTCTGTGGCTTCAGTTTCTATGTGCAGTACACTTCTCATCTGGACAACTTGACACTTACTTTATCACACCCTTCGGCTGGCCTTTCTTGCGCATTATAATAAAGATCATTTTTTGTTCATTCTCACTGAAATGTGTGTTGCAGATCTGTCAGCCATGATGTACTGAGCTTTGAAAACACTGACTTTTTTTGTGTTATGGTCGAGAAAACTCAAAGTAAAGTCACTTGTAATGACACCAGCCAATGCCCCGATCAACTGGCCAGAATTAATAAAGACTTGTAGAGTGAAATCATGGTTGTCCTATAGAGATTCTGAAGTCACACTGCTGAGTCGACAGATTACTCTTGCAGAAAGTCTACATCACTTAAATATCTTGGACAAGCAATTCCATGCATGAGAAAGCACACAGGAAAACATATAACACAATAACCTGTAATTTACCATATTCCCAAGTGATCCAGCACTTCTGCATATGCACAAGCAATACCATGATTAATATTATAATTACAATATTACATTATCATAATTGTAATATTTTTTTGTTTTTCAGTTTTAGCCTGGCACCAGACACTTGTTGCATTTAAATGTATTGAAATCATATTTTAATACATGCATTTCTCTTTAGTGAATTAGTGGTTTTAATAAAGGTAGTACTGTACAGTACATTGTGTAAAAAAGTAGGAGTAAAGGAAAAAAAAGTAATATTTAATTGCAAGTTGTGCTTAAGCTATTGTGGATGTGAATATAATAATCCAGGAACTTGGTCAGCTAAAATCAAAGACGGGGCAGATATGCAAAGCTGTTCACCCGGCCCTTCACACTTAATTAAAAATATCTGCAGGGCTAATGTGATGGCTGTGGTCAGCTGGAAGGGCTTTACATGCAGACACATAATGTAGCTAAACAGGGGAACATGTAATAGATTTGAGAATGTGCAACGTAATGGGAGAACACAGAAGCGAGCAAGCTCCACAGGTGTGTGCATATTTTCTTCAGAAACATGACACCCCGAAGCCTTCACTACTCTGTCTCCAACCTGCATGCTTAGTCTTGTTTTCCCCCCTGCTCCCT